TGATGATTTTGATCATAACTAGCATATTATTCATAAAAAATGATGGTTGCCATGGCAACCATGATGCTCATTATGATGATTTTGATCATAATTAGCATATACATAATAAATTATGGTTGCTATGGCAACTATGATGATCATTATGATGATCGTGATCATAATTAGCATATTAGAATTTAAAATGATTAGACCAGCAAATGATTTCATTCAGTTTAAAAAATTTGAAAACAATATTGCAATTTTTTAGACTTAATTTGCAATTTTTGGCTTATATGAGGTGTAAAAGATTTTAATAGTGGTGTGTTCAGCATAAGTACCTAGATACAAGTGACTATACTTCCATGCAGCAGAATCCTAATCCCTATACTAATTATGTACATAATTATACATATATTACATCTCTCTTTTTTTATTTTCAAAATGTTGAAAACTGGATTACTGTTTATAAAGACCCAGAACTTCATGTCCTTGAGCATTATATATCATTAACAATAAAGTTTTTTAATTACACGCACTACTATTTCTAAGTGTTAATGTATTGTCCATATCTCTCAGGTTTATGAACTGCCCTTCCAGATCTGGTTCTGTAGACGTTTTGGTGAATCTCGCCTGTAGTTTGTCCAAGTTCCTCTCCAAGTTCCTCTCCAGCTTTCTCTACTGGTTCTTCCGCTCTCCCTTGTGAATCTAACGCACATCTTGATGCAGGTTCAATTACTGTCTGAATGTGCCGTCGGTTTCTCCGTAGCCAACTACCATTTTCATTTTCCACCACATATGACCGTGGTTCCTGGCATTGTCTGCGTACCGTACCTTGTTGCCACTCTTTGGTTCTGTTATCTTGAATTCGGACTTCTTGCCCTGGAACTAGTTGAGAAAGATCACGAGCATGCTGGTCATAGTACGTTTTTTTGTCTCTGTTGTTTCTCCACAAGACGGGCATGGACCTCATCCCGTCGGTGATCACTATTAGGTATTCTTACAGGAAGATTTCCTTGCAGCTTACGTCCGAATAATAATTCTCCAGGACTTGGGATGCTGCTGTCTACTGGTGTAGTGCGAATGCAAAGAAGAACCATTTTGGGATCATTCCCACTAGCCTTTGCTTTACGAAATGAATTCTTGACAGTTTGAATGAACCGTTCAACAAACCCGTTTGACTGGGGATAATGCGGCGAAGATGTCATATGTGAAAAGTTCCATTCTTTCTCAAATGCACTGTACAATGAAGAACTAAATTGAGGTCCATTATCACTCACGACTTTCTGGGGAATTCCTTGCTCTGAGAATATCTTCTTAGTTGCTTCAACAACGGCTTTTGCGGTACAATGAACAGGCATCTTTTCTACAAATGGAAACTTTGAATAATAATCGACTATAATCAAATAATTATCCCTTCAAACTCGAACAAGTCTGTCCCTACTATTTGCCATGGGCGAGTGGGAACATCATGAGGGAGCAATGTCTCCCTGATCTGTGACTTCCTGTACTGTTGACAGGTAGAGCATTGTGCACTGGTCATCTCTATATCCTTACTTATATTGATCCAAAAAACACAGTCTTTCGCTCTGAGTTTAGATTTCTCTACTCCTTGGTGTCCTTCGTGAAGCTTGAATAGTATATTTGAGGTTAGGCTTCGTGGAATGACTATTCGTGGACCCTTTAACACAAGACCATCCTCCACAGCCAACTCATCCCTAAATGACCAATATGGTTGGATTTGTTTGGGTACGTCTCTCCTCTTCTCTGGCCAACCCACCACAATCACTTCCATTAGCTGCCTTAACTCTGCATCCTGCCTAGATTCCTGTCTTATCTGATCAAGTCGTTGCTGTGTAAATTGGATATGATGGATTTGCAGATCTAGGTCTATCGTTGTGCTATCTGTACCTGGAGAACGCGATAAACTGTCTGCCAGCAGCATTTCTTTTCCGGGTAAATATCTTATCTTCACGTCATACGTTTGGAGACGAAGTAACATTCTTTGCAACCTCGGGGGAGCGGCTGTTAATGGTTTCAGCTGGATCATTTCCAACGGCTTATGATCCGACTCGATGGTGAACTGTTTCCCATATACATAAGTATGAAATCTTTCACACCCAAATACTACAGCCAGCAGTTCCCTTTCTATGTTTGCATAACGTTGCTCGGTGTCACTCAACGACTTTGATGCAAACGCTATAGGCTTATTGTTCTGGAGCAACACAGCACCAAGTCCTCTAGAGGATGCGTCCACTTGTATAACTGTTTCATCCTCTACGTTAAAGTACGTGAGTGTGGTTTCATGACAAATAAGTCCTTTAATCTTTCGAAAATCTCGCTCCTGCGATTCTGACCACACATAGTCAGTTTCTTTCTTAAGGAGGTTTCGTAAACTTGCTGTATGCTCCGCCAACTTTGGTATGAATGGAGACATGTATGTGACCATTCCTAGAAATTCTTGATGTTCAGTCTTGTTTTTTGGGGAACACCTTTGCTTTATGTCCGTCACTTTGGCTGGGTCTGGATGAACACCGTCTTTGTCATACATCATACCAAAGAATTTGATTTGTGGGACTTTAAGCTCACATTTCTCACTGTTGAACACCAACCCGTATTTCTTTGCTACTTCCATTAAGTTGAGTAGGTTCCAATCATGTTCCGCCTCTGTTTTCCCACATACCGCGATATCATCGGCTATGCTGACTGTCCCGGGACATTTTTCAAGAATCTGATCCATTCTGTGTTGGAAAACATCCTGACTCATTACCAAACCGAATGGCATTCTTTGGAAGCAATATCTTCCAAATGGGCTGTTGAAAGTTGTTAGTCTAGAGCTCGCCTCGTCTAGTACCACGGACCAATAGCCATTTTTTGCATCGAGCTTGCTATAGTATCTCGATCCTAAAAATTTATGTGTGATTTCTTCCAAAGTTGGTGTTTTGTGATGACATCGTTTTATAACTTTATTCAGATCTTTTGGGTCCAGACATATCCGCAATTTCCCGTTCTTCCGTCTCGATATGACTATGCTGCTCCCAATCTGTCGGTTCCGTCATCTTCTTTATAACACCTTTTTGTTCCATGTCGTTTAACTCTTGCTTTAGCTCATCTTTCAGATGTATGGGACACTTACGTGGCGCATGTATTACTGGATGATTTCCTTCTTCAAGAACAATGTGGTACTCACCAGGAAATTTTCCCATTTTATCGAATTGCTCAGGATATACTGCCTTTAAATCGTCTACAGTATTAATACGTCTGCTTTTATCAATTGGCTTCGAGAATCCGTGCGTTGCCTCGGCTGGACGGGACTCTTCCTTCGATTTCCTGATTTCACAATGGAGTGTTACTAGCTTGTGATCAAGGGAACTTGGCAGGCCAAGAATAGCGGGACCGTCTGAATCCACGATGTAAAAATCTGTGTTGATCCACTTACATCCATCATAGCGACATTGGAGTTGTATTGCGCCATACTGTGGTATTTTTGTGCCATTATAAGCAGTCAGGACCACCTGACGGTTCTTGACTGCGTTTTTTCGCGGGAACCCTGCAGAGTCGACTTTTCCTGGATACATTTCACGGAACATTCTCACTGGTAGGGTGTTGCCTTGTGCGCCCGTATCTATCTTCACTTTCAAATTTGCTCGTATTCTTTTGCTACACTTGACTTTGATGTATGTGAAAGCTTCGTCGCGTGGCTTAGAACGAAGGTCGTCACACGCACTGATATCTGATATCTTGACAGTATTTATTGTCATTTCTTCGAATAAATCATCGTCGTCAGAGTCTTCCTTTCTGATATCATGTATCTCCCATTGCTCGTAGTTCTTTCGACGAGAGTACTTCGAGCGACCTTTAGAACCAGACTGATCTTTTGTCGGTCCATTTGCCTGACCTTTAGAACCAGACTGGTCTTTTATTGGTCCATTTGCCAGTCTTGATCTACACATCTTCTCCCAGTGATTTCGTTTCTTGCATCGATGACACATTGTACCAAACGCTGGGCATTTATCTCTCGGAAACTTTGAGTGGAACTTTCCACAATTCCCACAAGTTTCCTCTCTTCGAACTTCATACACCGTCGATGTCTCCTCTCGTTGTACCTGTGCCAATTCTTTCATGTGCATTAGGGTGGCTTCATGCGTCTTTCCAAGTTCAATTGCTTTAGCCAAACTCAATGATTTGTCCATTGCTAGGAGCTGCTTTTGTAGTTCACTGTGGTACGTTCCAGCAATCAATTGTTCTATTACTCTGTCCTCGAATTCTTTATCATCACGCAGGCTACATTTGAAGGCTTGTAACTTCAACCTTGAGACAAACTCGTCAACACTTTCATTTTCTTGCTGTCTGATTTTTTGTAAATACAGCCGCGCTACTCTAAAATTTTCTTTTGGTTGTATATGCGAAATAAATTTATTCCAGACAACATCTGGGTCTTTTTCTTCCGTCTCATTTAATCCCCATGAGTTAAACATTCTAATGCCATTAGCACCGGTAAACAACAAGATATGGTCTACTTGTTTCTCTTTCTTTACCTCTTTAACAGAGAAATATAACTCGCATTGTTGTTTAAACAGTTTTATAGCGCTGCCTTGATCTGAATTAGCCCAGTCCATGCGGGGCATAATAGATTCCGACATCTTATCGGCCAATTTATTCTATCGTGAGTTTATTTCCCTTTCTTTTACTTCAGGTATAGGATAATCGCTTAGTATTGTAGTTTACCCAATTGCCCCGCTTGTGTTCAGCGATGCACGAGCATTATTATAGAGTTTGTCTTTTGCACAAGATAAATATACTTTATTCACGTAACTCGTGATACTTATTTCTACTACAACCAAGCGTGTGTTCTTCTACGTTTTTTGTACGTCCTCTGAGCCCGCGCTCTTGTCCTATATCTAACATCATATACGTTGTGCTATAACATGCAACAACACTACATCTCTCCCTTTTATCGAACTGTAACCATAACACAACAAAACAAATTATTATTAATGTTAAAGTTGTTTCAGATGTTAGCTTTAATACATCACATAGTCACCAAGATAGTTCGGACGCCGCCTTTCTCTTGCTGGTCGTTGGTTTTGACCTCGCTGTTCCTGACCTGCGTTTTGAAGTTCTACATTGTTCTCGTTGCTCCCATCGTCATCATCATCATCATCCTCTCCACTGTCGTTAGGAATGTTTGCCCACTGCTCTGCTGCCCGTTTTGTAACTTTCTTAAGATGAGAGGAATTTCTGCTTAGTGTTGATCCATCTGTTTTCTGTACGGTCACTAATGTTCCTTTCTTCCTGGTGACAAGTGCAGGTTTAGGATTATAGCGTGAGGACAACTTATTCTTTCGCTTCTGTTTTATCAATACCATATCACCTACACAAACGCGGCTAGGTTTGTGGTGATTCCGACGGTCGGAATAGGTTTTCATCTTCTTCTTCCCTTGTCGGTCTTTGGAACGCATTTCTGCATCATCGAGAGGTGGCACGAGCACTGCAGGCAGTTTAGTTTTGATTTTCCTACCAAACAAAAGCTCCGCCGGCGACTTCCCGGTAGTCGAGTGCGGCGTAGCTCGGTACTGCAGGAGAAACTGTTGTAGATCTTTCTTCCAATTCTTTCCTTCGATTGAGCTTGTTTTGATGGCTTTGCTTAGTGTACGCATAAAACGTTCAGCTTCGCCGTTAGCAGCTGGCCATAGTGGTGTAATTCTACGGTGTTGAAAACCTTTCTCTTTAGCATACTTGGCGAATTCGTGACCACTAAATGGGGGGCCGTTATCAGACTTCATAACATCCGGAATCCCATGCGTAGCAAAGATTCTATCTAACTTCGGAATAGTCGCTTCAGCGGAGGTAGATCGAAGAACTTCCACCTCCGGATACCGAGAGTAATCGTCAATGACAACTAGCAAGTAGTCACCGGATGGGAAAGGGCCACAAAAATCGGTTGAAACTTGGCTCCACGGCGCCGTTGGTAAGGTCGTCATTTGGAGGGGTTCTGGTGTCACATTTTGGCTTGTTGCTTGACATGGGATGCAATCATCGATCTCTGTCTTGACGTCCTTGTCAATGCCAGGGTACCATACCTTTTCTCGAAGGAGCTGCTTTGTTTTTACAATGCCTTGGTGGGACTCGTGCGCAAGTTTGACTGCTCGCAATTGAAGACATTTTGGGAGGACTACGCGTGTTCCCCGAAGGATGATGTCGGAATCCGTTGCAACAGTGAGCTCGAACTTGACTTTGTTGAATGGGGTAAGGTCAGGATCATTGTTTGGCCAAACGTCCGTGGTAATTGCCTGACGAAGGCGTTGGAAAATAGGGTCAGCTTTTGATGCACTGTTAACTTCTTCTAGAGTCATAGCTTTGGGTATAGCATGGCCGACCAGATAATTCACATACTCTTCAGCAATCTTCCGCTCTCTCGTTGTCTGGGAACGCGAAGGATGGCGTGATAGATAATCAGCAATGTTCAGCGGTCCGGGCCTGTATTTCACGGTGAAGGTGTACGGTTGAAGTCTCAAAGCCCAGCGTTGGATGCGGGCTGGAGGGTTAGAGGCGGGATTGTTAAAAATGGTTTCAAGTGGCTTGTGGTCTGTGACGATTTCAAACTGAGAACCATAGAGGTATAAATGAAACCGCTCACAACCCCAAACGATGGCTAGTGCTTCACGTTCGGTCTGCGAGTATCGTCGTTCTACATCGCTAAGCGTACGACTTGCATATGCAACAGAGCGTTCCTGTCCGTCTGCGTCAACTTGCGTTAGCACGGCACCCAGTCCGAAGGGGCTTGCATCAAACGTGGCAATCGTGCGCTTGCTAGGATCAAAATAAGCCATCGTGCGGTTGCTGGTCAAACACTCTTTTAAAGCGAGAAAAGACTTGTTCTGCTGAACCCCCCAGTTCCAACGCACTCCTTTTCTGGTCAAGTGTTTCAACGGCTCCGTCAATGTGGCGTAATTCGGAATAAAACGGGAACAAAATCCGGTTAACCCAAGGAAACTTCGGACTTCTGACGGATTCGTGGGAGGGGTGGCATCACAGATAGCAGCAATCTTCTTGGGATCCGCAGACATGCCTTTTGCAGAAAACACATACCCAAAGAAAGCCAGATTCTGCTTGTTGTAAACACACTTGGACCCGTTGAGGGTTAGACCTTTTTCCCGCAGACGTTGAAAGGTATCGGCTAGAGCAGCATCGTGTTCTTCTTGCGTACGCCCAAACACAATAATGTCGTCTGAAATGTTTTTCACGCCTGGGATTCCCTGTAGTGCCTGTTGAATAACTTGTTGGAAAACTTCCGAGGCTGAGGCCAAACCAAAAAGGAGACGGGTATATTGGCGGAGGCCCTTATGCGTGGTAAATGTGGTGAGGTACCGGGAGGCAGGTGTAAGCTCAATTTGATGGTATCCAGAACGAAGGTCGAGTTTGGAAAAAACACTTGCCCCATTCAAATCGTTTGTGACTTCCTCGATGGTAGGTGTGGGATGGCGCTGGCGTTGGACAGCTTTGTTTGGTTGACGGAGGTCAACACAAAGACGGATTTCCTTGGGGTTGCTGGTTTTTGGGACTGCCACTACAGGTGAAACCCATGGTGTGGGGCCGTCAACCGCCTCAATGATGCCTTGCTGTTCCAAGCTCTCGATTTCTTGCTCTACTTGCTTTCGGATATGAAAAGGTATACGACGTGGCAGCTGGGCAACAGGCTTTACATCTGGGTCTATATATATTTGGAATTGGAAATCTTTGAGCTTGCCGATTCCATGGAAGATATCCTGGTATTCTTCCAATAACTGCGGTAGGGATTTTTGAGCACTGACTGTGTTGATGGAATGTGGGACTGAAATTAATCCCAAGGCGACTGAAGTGTCATGGCTAAGGATGGAGCCATGGAAGCCATCAACTACGTAAAATGAACCATTGGTTTTGCTTGATAAGGTTTCAATAGTGGCTTGAAACTTTCCGAGTAGGGCAAGAGGTTCTGCTGCACCATAGGCATAAATTCGTGTCGACGTCTTTTGCAACTGAATATGATCATTCTGCGTAACTATTTGCTCATATGCTGCCTTGTCGAGGATGTTCACTGATGCTCCCGAATCGATCATCATCACAATTTCAACACCATTGATGACAACGGGAAGCTGAGGCCTGGAGATCACATTAGCATGTTCCCCGTCAGTATTGGTTGCATAAATATATCCCTCCTCATCATCAGATACGATGTCTTCAGAGATTTGGTTCAGTTGTTCACGTCTTGGACGCTGCTGGCCTTGGCGTTGGGTGTTGCGATTTTGGGGCCGACTGCGGCAGACTCGAGCAAAATGATTTTGCTTTCCACAGGAACGGCAGGATTTACCAAATGCTGGGCACGGCTTGGAGGGAACATGGGGCCATGTTTCACCACAATTTCTACAATATCCTCTAGGCTGTTGTCGGTGGTCATTACTTGTTAGCGGGCGATTTGCAGGTGTTGCTTGAATGGCACTGATCTCAGGAGTTGTAGGGCTGTTGGTACCAATACGAGCTGCTTGTTGTTTTGAGCATTCCAAAATACGACCTTGCTTTAAGATGAAGGTCAAATCCGCTTTTTCTTCACGAAGAATCTTTTCTTTCAGTCTATTAGAGCTACAATTAGCCAGAATTTGATCGGCAATAACATCATCAATATTCTCAAACTCACACGTTTCAGCCAGGTTACGAAGTCGAGAAGCGAATTGATCAATAGACTCACCGTCTTGTTGACATGCTTGTTTAAAATGGTATCGTTCATATCGAATATGTTTCTTCGGAGCAAAATATTCGTTGAGTTTTGCGGCAGCTGTATCGTAGTCGTCTCCCGTATCCGTCAATCCTTTAAACACTTTCTGAACAGTTGGCCCGCTGATATGCAAAAGAAGCGCTCGCTTTTGTTTCTTGTCTTCAACTTTAGCTGCAATTGTAAAAATCTCGAATTGTTCGAGCCATTCTTTCCACCGTGTTGCGATTGACGATGGCTCGGAATAAGCATCGAATTGTGGCAAGTTCGGCATTAAATTTAATTGAGCCATTATAATCCTCGTCGCCAATTATAGAGTTTGTCTTTTGCACAAGATAAATATACTTTATTCACGTAACTCGTGATACTTATTTCTACTACAACCAAGCGTGTGTTCTTCTACGTTTTTTGTACGTCCTCTGAGCCCGCGCTCTTGTCCTATATCTAACATCATATACGTTGTGCTATAACATGCAACAACACTACAATTATTGTCCCCGTTATTGTCTGCCAACTTTCATAACCCAAAGTACATATAGTTCTATATAGCTTTAATATTAATATCACTGTAGCTATACTACAATGTTTATTCCAAGGATACTCTAAGGATATGTTTGTGCTTGATTTTCAGCTTCTGTGTGCTTCTATCTTCGCATGTATGTCTTCTTTGCGGTAGAATTTTCCGGGGAATTCGTTCTGCTTCAGTAATGCCACTAACTTGAATTCCTTATTTTGATTTCTTCTTGACTGCTACATGTATTATTTGTAGCAGTTTGTTTTTTCTGTCTTTATCTTAATGGCGATATCTTTCTTGTTAAGTTCAGACTGTTTTACCGCTGCCACCATGTAAAAGATTTTAATAGTGGTGTGTTCAGCATAAGTACCTAGATACAAGTGACTATAATTCCATGCAGCAGAATCCTAATCCCTATACTAATTATGTACATAATTATACATATATTACATGAGGTGATAGATTTTGAATTATAAATTCTTGAATATTGATTTGCTAGACTTAACAATCAGTAGGAATGTTCAGAAGGCACTGACAAAAGACAGAAGGGAATATTAGACCAGCAATTGATTTCATTCAGTTCAAAAAATTTGAAAGCAATTGTGAAAAATTTGCAATTTTTGCCTTATATGAGGTGATAGATTTTGAATGATAAGTTCTTGAATATTGATTTGCTAGACTTAACAATCAGTAGGAAGGTTCAGCAGGCAGTGAAAAAAAATAGAACGGAATATTAGACCAGCAATGGATTTCATTCAGTTCAAAAAATTTGAAAACAATATTGCAATTTGCCAGACTTAACAATCAGTAGGAATGTTCAGCAGGCACTGACAAAAGAAATAAGGGAATATAAGACCAGCAAATGATTTCATTCTGTTCAAAAAATTTGAAAACAATATTGCAATTTGCTAGACTTAACAATCAGTAGGAATGTTCAGCAGGCACTGACAAAAGATAGAAGAGAATATTAGATCAGCAAATGATTTCATTCAGTTAAAAAAATTTGAAAACAATATTCCAATTTGCTAATATTAACAATCAGTAGGAATGTTCAGCAGGCACTGACAAAAGATAGAAGGGAATATTAGACCAACAATTGATTTCATTCAGTTCAAAAAATTTGAAAATAATTTTGCAAAATTTGCAATTTTTGCCTTATATGAGGTTATATATTTTGAATGATAATTTCTTAAATATTGATTTGCTAGACTTAACATAGAGTAGGAATGTTCAGCAGGCACTGACAAAAGATAGAAATGAATATTAGACCAGGATTTTATTTCACTTAGTTGAATCGAAAAAACCTGAAAAAAATTGTTGAAAATAGCAATTTTTGCTTTACATGAGGTGATAGATTTTGAATGAGGAAGTCTTGAATATTGATTTGCTAGACTTAACAATCAGTAGGAATGCTCAGCAGGCACTGACAAATAATAGAAGGGAATATTAGCCCAGCAATTGATTTCATTCAGTTCAAAAAAATTTGAAAACAATATTGCAACTTGCTAGCTTTAACAATCAGTAGGAGTAATCAGCAGGCACTGACAATTAAAAGATAGAAGGGAATATTAGACCAGCAATTGATTTCATTGAGTTCAAAAAATTTGAAAACAATATTGCAATTTGCAAGACTTAACAATCAGTAGGAATGTTCAGCAGGCACTGACAAAAGATAGAAGGGAATATTAGAACAGCAATGGATTTCATTCAGTTGAAAAAATTTGAAAACAATTGTGCAAAATTTGCAATTTTTGCCTTATATATGAGGTGATAGATTTTTAATGATAAATTCTTGAATATTGATTTGCTAGACTTAACAATCAGTAGGAATGCTCAGCAGGCACTGACAAAAGATAGAAGGAAATATTAGACCAGCAATTGTTTTCATTCAGTTCAAAAAAATTTGAAAACAATATTGCAATTTGCCAGTCTTAACAATCAGTAGGAATGTTCAGCAGGCACTGACAAAAGATAGAAGGGAATATTAGACCAGCAATTGATTTCATTGAGTTCAAAAAATTTGAAAACAATATTGCAATTTGCTAGACTTAACAATCAGTAGGAATGTTCAGCAGGCACTGACAAAAGATAGAAGGGAATATTAGACCAGCAATAGATTTCATTCAGTTCAAAAAATTTGAAAACAAATGTGCAAAATTTGCAATTTTTGCCTTATATGAGATGATAGATTTTGAATGATAAATTCTTGAATATTGATTTGCTAGTCTTAACATTCAGTAGGAATGTTCAGCAGGCACTGACAAAAGATAGAAGGCAATATTAGACCAGCAATGGATTTCATTCAGTTCAAAAAATTTGAAAACAATTGTGAAAAATTTACAATTTTTGCCTTATATGAGGTGATAGATTTTGAATTATAAATTCTTGAATATTGATTTGCTACACTTAACAATGAGTAGGAATGTTCAGCAGACACTTACAAAAAATAGAAGGGAATATTAGACCAGCAATTGGTTTTATTCAGTTCAAAAAATTTGAAAACAAGTGTGCAAAATTTGCAATTTTTGCCTTATGTAAGGTGACATATTTGAATGATAAATTCTTGAATATTGATTTGCTAGACTTAACATTCAGTAGGAATGTTCAGCAGGCACTGACAAAAGATAGAAAGGAATATTAGACCAGTTTCTAGACTTAACAATCAGTAGGAATGCTCAGCAGGCACTGACAAAAGATATAAGGGAATATTAATTAGACCAGCAAATGATTTCATTCAGTTCAAAAAATTTGAAAACAATATTGCAATTTGCTACACTTAACAATCAGTAGGAACAATCAGCAGGCACTGACAAAAGATAGAAGGGAATATTAGACCAGCAATGGATTTCATTCTGTTCAAAAAATTTGAAAACAATATTGCATTTTGCCAGACTTATCAATCAGTAGGAATGTTCAGCAGGCACTGACAAAAGATAGAAGGGAATATTAGACCAACAATTGATTTCATTGAGTTCAAAAAATTTGAAAACAATATTGCAATTTGCTGGACTTAACAATCAGTAGGATTTTTCAGCAGGCACTGACAAAAGATAGAAGGGAATATTAGACCAGCAATTGATTTCATTCAGTTCAAAAAAATTTGAAAACAATATTGCAATTTGCTAGACTTAAAAATCAGTAGGAATAATCAGCAGGCACTGAAAAAAGATAGAAGGGAATATTAGACCAGCAATGGATTTCATTCTGTTCAAAAAATTTGAAAACAATATTGCAATTTGCCAGACTTAATAATCAGTAGGAATGTTCAGCAGGCACTGAAAAAAGATAGAAGGGAATATTAGACCAGCAATGGATTTCATTCAGTTCAAAAAATTTGAAATTAATTTTGAAAAATTTGCAATTTTTTGCTTATATGAGGTGATAGATTTTGAATGATAAATTCTTGAATATTGATTTGCTAGACTTAACAATCAGTAGGAAAGTTCAGCAGGCACTGACAAAAGATAAAAGGGAATATTAGACCAGCAATTGATTTCATTGAGTTCAAAAAATTTCAAAACAATATTGCAATTTGCTAGACTTAACAATCAGTAGGAATGTTCAGCAGGCACTGACGAAAGACAGAAGGGAATATTAGACCAGCAATGGATTTCATTCAGTTCAAAAAATATGAAAACATTTGTGAAAAGTTTGCAATTTTTGCCTTGTATGAGGTGATAGATTTTGAATGATAAATTCTTGAATTTTGATTTGCTAGACTTAACATTCAGTAGGAATGTTCAACAGGCACTGACAAAAGATAGAATAGAATATTAGACCAGCATTTGATTTTATTCAGTTCAAAAAATTTGAAAACAATTGTGCAAAATTTGCAATTTTTGGCTTATATGAGCGGATAGATTTTGAATGATAAATTCTTGAATATTGATTTTCAAGACTTAACAATCAGTAGGAATGTTCAGCAGGCACTGACAAAAGATAGAAGGGAATATTAGACCAGCAATAGATTTCATTCAGTTCAAAAAATTTGAAAACAATTGTGCAAAATTTGCAATTTTTGCCTTATATGAGATGATAGATTTTGAATGATAAATTCTTGAATATTGATTTGCTAGTCTTAACATTCAGTAGGAATGTTCAGCAGGCACTGACAAAAGATAGAAGGGAATATTTGACCAGCAATGGATTTCATTCAGTTCAAAAAATTTGAAAACAATTGTGCAAAATTTACAATTTTTGCCTTATATGAGGTGATAGATTTTGAATTATAAATTCTTGAATATTGATTTGCTAGACTTAACAATGAGCAGGAATGTTCAGCAGACACTTACAAAAAATAGAAGGGAATATTAGACCAGCAATTAGTTTCATTCAGTTCAAAAAATTTGAAAACAAGTGTGTAAAATTTGCAATTTTTGCCTTATGTAAGGTGATATATTTGAATGATAAATTCTTGAATATTGGTTTGCTAGACTTAACATTCAGTAGGAATGTTCAGCAGGCACTGACAAAAGATAGAAAGGAATATTAGACCAGAATTTGATTTCACTTAGTTGAAAAAATCTGAAAACAATTGTGGATCGAAAATAGCAATTTTTGCCTTGCATGAGGTGATAGATTTTGAATGATAAAGTCTTTAATATTGATTTGCTAGACTTAACAATCAGTAGGAATAATCAGCAGGCACTGACAATTAAAAGATAGAAGGGAATATTAGACCAGCAAATGATTTCGTTCAGTTCAAAAAATTTGAAAGCAATATTGCAATTTGCTATACTTATAACAATCAGTAGGAATGTTCAGCAGGCTCTGACAGA